ATGTGTGGTAATGTCCATATCTGGTATAATTTTGTTGTATTTACTGGAATAAATTGGGGAGGGGACCTCTCAGTCAACCTGTGAATTAGAAAGATTTGAACCAGAAGATGGGCTGACACTCATTACCACTATGCTAACCTTCTTGTCAGCTGATATCAAAACATGCAGACCCAGCTAAGGTCTGAAGTAGGGATATCATTTCTGAAAGTGCTACTCTGTCAGCCTGTATACTAACATTAAATTTCTGTTTTCATTCCAGTTTCTTATCCATGGAGCATTAATCATAAATCATTCATGTGTCCAGCAGCCATCAATTTAACCAGAACTCTGCAGATGCATTAAAAGAAGCTAAAAATGGCAAAATTTCACCCATGACAAAACATCATACCGTGGAAGCAAAGTTCACACATTCTAGACCTAGAACTGAATGGAGGTGAGTGGTCAGATCCATAACCTCACTACTTTCCCACCATGGGAACAACTGTCTCAGACACCCACTGGACAGAAGGCCAGCAAAGATTGAGAACCAGTGGTGACAAAGAGAAATATCCTTTCTTGCTATGAATATAATCCAAGTTATCTGGTCTGAATTCAGTCACTTTATTGATTTATCACAGCTCTTATGAAAACATTTAAATTAAGCCAGCTGAAAGACATTTGCCCTCTTTGGGGATTTCCTATTTGATGGCTACAGAATTTTACAGGATGCAAGTTGCGACAGTATTTTTGCTGGGCACACATATTTACCTACACGGAAGTCCTGCAACCATTTTGTGGTATTTAAGTTAAAACCTATAACATGATCTTATGTGAGTATTATATAAACAAAAATTCAAATAATCTTCATTTCATGCATCCTGTTGTGTTATAATATACAATTTCTTTATTTAAACTGTCACAACACAACTATATTAAGGTCAGTGCCAATTTCGGCTCTGCTACATGTTTCGGCTATTAATAGCCATAATCAGGCAAATACATGGCCAACATATATACACCACTGAACTGCAGTACTAGTAAAATTGGGTACAGTAATATTAATTATATTAAAATACTTGGCGTAACAGTACAATAAATAAGACTATATAAAACGAAAGTTATAGTATAAAACAAGATTAAAATTTTAAGTTTAATTTATTGTACTGTTATGCCAAGTATTTTAATATAATTAATATTATTGTATCAAATTTTACTAGTACTGCAGTTCAGTGGTGTATATATGTTGGCTATGGATTTGCCTGATGATGGCTTTTGGTAGCCGAAACATGTAGCAGAGCCAAAATTGGCACTGATCTTAATACAGTTGTGTTGTGACAGTTTTAGTAAAGAAATTGTAAAAATTCAAATAGTATACATAGGTTTAGCATTAAGACATTTTAGAATCTGACACCGAATAATGTTGGTCATTAAGACTGTGATGTGTTGTCATGCAGTCTGGTAGATGGTTACCACACTTCAGAGGAATCTGATTCCTCCAAGACATTGATACTCATCTACAAGGCTTACCGAGTCATTATATTCACCATTGAGAGAACCTCAAATCTTTTGATGTTGGTCATGTTCCATTTTAATATTTCACACATCATATCACTGAAACTGCTGAAGGAGGGATTTAAGAAACATCAAGTTTCATGACAATTGAATCATGTTCAGATGTTACTTGAGGGCACACACATACATAGTAACATAAAGCTTCCATCCTTTTCCATATGGGAACACATTGTGATAAAAACACAATATTAAAAACTTTATAATGGATGGTACTAAATAACATCTATCATAATAAAACTGAAATACAACACAGAACTAGAAAAACAAGTCTACTAATCTAGCTAATCTAGGACAAACTAGAAGCAAGTTTTTCAAGAAGAGAAATGCTACTGTTGTAGTATGAGTGACACGATGCATTTTCTAAGTGCACTATATTGGTGATTATGTACATTCTTTCACTTACACAAACACAGTCATCTAGTTACTTTGATATATGACATGCTTGAATACAATATACTCTTTTCCCCTTTTTATCTCAAGCAAATATTTTGCCAACCCTTTGTAAACCACTTTCACACTTGTTCTGACAAACTATTCCAGATAAGGCAAAGCAAGATATGAGTACACTGGAATGTGAGAGGAAGCTAAATGGTCTATATGAAAGTTTCATAAAGCACAAAGTGTATACTTCTTGAGAAAAAAGCCTGGATTATTCATCCATCCCAAGATTTGAATGAAGTCTCTCTTCTTCATGTCTTATAAGGATTATGGTATACTCCTGATTGTGTGTGCTCATATTATCCAGTCTGGAACTTATACATCTTTCAGGAGTGCTCAAAAGCCTGCAGAGTGCTTATTAAGTCCTGCCCACCTGACTGTCCATATGTGCGAAAGAATGTGAGAACTGCTGGTCAGATTTTCATGAAACTTGATACTGGAGATATTTATGCAGAAGTGAAAGGCCATTTCAATTTTGCATTTTAAAGCCCACTTCATATGAAGACCTTTATGCATTTTTGCATATAACTTGAGTACATTTGTTAAATATTTATTAGAGCAAAACATATTTTCAACAAATTTAGAGTGGAAAATGGATCAAACATTTATATTCAATATAGTACTTGCATCAGTCTTACGGCTCTTGAGATGGCCAAAAAGACTGGATGCAATGTGCATATTTCTGAATATCTGCATACAACAATCACCATAGTTTCTAGATCACATCTGAACCCTGGATTATCCATGTTTTCCAATTGCCGGTGCATCTTTTACCCTTCATCAGCATTGATAATTGGAGTACAATGAATATGCACGTATATTGCCTGCACTTTCTTTAGAATTTGCATCTGCAGAACATGTATGTTTTTTACATCCATCCTAGATACTTCAAGGTATGTATTAAATCAAGGAAGATGAGATAGGCTGGAAATGTATCACACATGACAGAGATATGAAACGTAGACATAAATCTACGTGAAACACCTGCAGAAAAGAGACCACTAGGGATATCCAAGTGACAAAGGTGGTAGGATTATATTAATATGGACTTGTACGAGAAATGCCTCTTGAACTGAGTATTGCACCTTCAGGTTTTATGAAAGTATTTATTTACGGTTTATTTAATGGCACTGTCAACAGCTCATGCTTAAAGATCTTGAACATTTGGTGTTCTCAAGTGTGGCTTTAGTGTCTGGAGGTGGAGAGACTGTATCAGGCAACTACTGAACTTGGAACAATCCCATAACAGGGTGTATAAAGCAGTCTGCTGCAAGTACAACACTTCATGTAAATATCAGAAAATCTTTATAATTTCTCAGTTTAAATAATGCCTAAGATGCTAAGAATGATGAATTACTGTTTGCTACTTTCTTATCTCTGAGATAACTGCTTCAAACAAGTTATGAACAGTATGCACATTGTAATAGCTTGGTGTCCTTCCTGACTCCCTTTTGCTTTCTTGAAACCCATAAAGCTTGCAGGAAAAATGCATCAGTCATAAAAACATGTTTCCTTCCTCTTTACAAACATCCATTTAAAATATTTTTTTCCCTGATAAATATTAGCAAATTATGCTGAGATTCACTCAAAAACACACAGAGTCTTCATGTAAAGTGCACTGTTGACCAATTTTGGCCAAAATAAAATATGTTGATAAATTTTAGTAAAATCCATTCAGTGGTTCTCAAGTTCTTACATGCAGACAGATGAACAGAGATGGAAGGGCTAACAGGTACATTTATACAGTCTTTGGCTGCAAGCATGCTAAAAGAATAAACATTACAACACCCACATAATTTTTTAAACATTAGTGCCATACTGTGATACAATTAGAAGTTACAAATATATTTCAAGCATTTTTGAACATCATGAGTACCTGTTACAACAGGCATTTTTATTAATTTTAAAAATTATCATTATATCAAGGTTACAGTGCACATAGCACTGAATGAGGTGTGGGGGTCACGAATGGTAAGACCACATGAACATGGGAAAGGCAGTGGATTACTAGTTACCATATGTGTGAGATAAAGAGATGTTTAACCTGCCTTATCAACTTTATGGTATCTCTCTTAACACATGTTCCCCTTCTAATGGTTTAGATATGGTACAAAACAGACTTCACTTTCGCCAGAAATGCAACAAATACATACACTCCACATGGTATCATACGTATGAACAATTCATGAGCAGTTCATTCTTGCCAATAAAGCAAAATGAAATATTCATATTTTTATATATCAACATAAAAATGAAGAGATTATAGTTTATTTGCAGAAAATAGGTCCAGAGATGTGGTGTTTAAATGAAAATAGACTTGTGTGTATATGTGTTTATATATATATGTATATGTGCAAATACATGCTTGTGCAATCTGCTATTGTCTTTGGACCCATATAATTCAACAGCTACTTCTCACATAATTTAATTCTGTATACTGACATCTTAACAAATCCTTTCCTTCATAATTTGCCCCCCCCCCCATTCAAATTAAAAATATAAAAGTTGAAAGGTTCTTACATTTGTCCGTATTACTGATAAATCACACATCGGAGAAAGAAGGCAACAAAATAAAAAAAAAAAAAAAGATGACAGAAAAATCAGTCAGTTGTTAATACTGTTCAGCATGTATTGTGACAAATGTCTGTTATGACAGTATTATTAGTGAAACACAAAGGAAAGGAAAACGACAAATTCGCAAATCAGAAATGGTTAAAAATTAAAAACGAAATTTAAATACATATATAAATATTTATTTCATAAAGAAAATATAAAAAAATTGTGCACTGAATAGAAGTTCAAACAGAATCTTATTTTTAAGACTAATTATTAAATAAAAGTATAAATATTTATTCCATTTCCTTCCAAATTACAACGCCAAGCATATACACACTCACACGCAAGCTCATGTACCCAAATTAACATGCAAACTAATGAATACAAAAATACTTGAATGTAATCACCAAGATATGTAATACTGTTGTGCCACTTTTATAAATAAATCAACTCACCACGAGTTTCTCACTTTTCAGTTTCAGTTCTTGCTCTAAGTTTGCAATATAGGCCTTCAAGTTTGCTATCAATTCTGACTCCTGTCTGTCAGACACTAATGGCAACATTTCACTGTTGGCCCACTCACTGCAATGATGGTCCTTTAGTTTACACTCTCCCTAAAAACAAAATGAAATTTCTCAGGTTTTCACACTGGAAACATTTCAAATTGTAGTGTTCTGGGTTGTGACACTACTAGTATATAGCCCCACAGGTAAACACCAAACCCTGACAACCACAATCTGAAAATGAAAATTGTACTTATACCATAATTTATTATCACAGTGCAATCATATTAAAAGCTTTCCACCAGTCACTGAGCTGCTCAGGCAGAACCCATGATCATTGATGTTCACTTACTGCAAGTCAGTTCTATGGAACTGTATTGCAGATATCACAGATCTTGAAGAAATCTATATTCTATGACCTGTGCAACCCATGTAAGATGACTAAGTTTTGCACAGAATCACTGAAGTTTGATTTGAGCTCCATGCAAAGTGGGAAATCCTGAATAGCTATCAACCAAAGTTACATTCAAGCAATAACTTCCAGTGAATATTTCCAACAACAAAGTTCATTAAAATCAATTAACAAGTTTTATGAAACAAGAAGCAAGACACAGCATCCTCATTATGGAAAGCTAAGTTAAATACAGAGGAGTAACAGTTTAAGCCTTCCTTACCCCAAAACTAGAATCTGTATAATCATCAATATCTAAGTCAGTTTCCACTCCACTTTCACCATGACCAAGAGGATGGATCTGAAGACCTAAAAAAATTATGAAAAACATTATATATCAGTATGAAAAAATAGGCATGAATGGTGCATTTTTGAATTCTAAAAGTTTAGGCTTTGTAGTAGGTACAGAAAAAGTTTATCCCATGCCATTACATGAGGCTGTGAGGGAACATGACAATAAATTTACAGGTGTCTTTCCCCTAGGCACTACATGGAGGTGAGTGGTGAATTTAACTCTCTTGACCAATTTACTCTCAGAGAAATAATGACCCAGTAACCACTGGACAGGATGCTGAATAGATCCTAGAGCAATCCTGGACGTGGTGGAGAAATGAAAAATTCTTGTCATTGCTGAGAATTAAATCCATTAACCAGACCACACCTTGGCTTTATACTGGGAGGGGGGATATAAGAAAAAAATTCTTGTCTCTGTAATTTACTCCTTAAAATTAACATATCTGATTCAAAGCTTTCTTTTATACTTGAACTGTTAGCAGATGAAGAATCAGTCATGATGGATCTGTACTTGAATCTGCATCACTCTTCCATAACTAAATAACCTTAAACTAACCACAGAGTAGCAAACCAAAACACAACAACTGATCAAATATAGTTCATGTAGTCACCAGACTATCACTTTCCATTTTCATACAAGATACATATAGAAACTGAAATGTGAATGAAGGGTACTATTTTTTTGAGGTGTAACACCATGTATTCCAACAGACTGTACTACTTCCCAGTATAAAGTATTCTTCCTGCTGTGAAAATCCCAAAGCCAACCGAAGGACAAATATTTTTGAGTAAAAGGCTCCTTAACATACAGATGATGATAATCTTAATCACATTTTCACACAGGAGGCAAAATCTAAATTTTATTTTAATGTCAATTCATATGTTCCTACATAATCACTTGCTTTAGCTGATTGTAAGCCACTGTCAGATATTAAGTAACCCTTGTTTACATCAATACAAAGACAGCACGAGTGGGGGGAGGGGGGGCTCTACTGGGTTACATATTTTATCAGACCCCATTTCATTTTTAAATTACAAATATATTTAATACTTCTAATCACAACAGTATCTTTCATTCTTCATTAATTTTGTTTTTGAAGGATAATCCTATCATGTCAGAAAATAAAGCAAAAAGCATGTACAATTACTACTCTGGGCAAATTCATTGGCTAGAAAAGTTAAAACCTTTAGTTATATTATCAATATTATTATTATTATTATTATTATCATCATTATTATTATTTTATTTATAATGCAAATTGGTTTTTACCTGGTGGCAGTGATAGTATAACAAGAGACAACACACAAATAACACACCACACTCAAACAAAACACAGTACACAGAACTACAAAAGCAATAAAGCACACACTACACACAATGAGTACAATGCAAATACAATTACAACTACAACTAATACAACCATAATTAAATAAATTAATATTAATATAAAAATAAGAATACTATACACTAAACAGTAAGAGCAACTGAATATGCAATGTCATGTTCTGATGGACCCATATTCCACTTCACAACACTTACTTACCCTTCACATCCTCACCACAATTCACTTCACTTCACTGCCTTTTTGGATGATTTCTCCTATACCTTCACTTCGCCTTATTTATTACTTTTCTAACCCTTTCTGTAAAATTACTTGGTTTACATGAGAGAGTCCCTAAAGCATTTGCAGGCAGTTGCTTTCAGAGCTGGATAATCCTATTTGCAAACGAATATTTTCTGATATCTGTCTTTTGTTTTCTCCTTTTAATTTTCCTATCATGATCGACCCTGCTCAGATAGCATGGTCTTTGTAATCTATCACCTACAGGGAAGTATGCTACAAAATGTGCTTCAGGCACTTTCAAAATCATGCCATGCAACTATAAAAGCTGCAGCAATGCATGGATCTCCTCTCTTCAAAATCACTTCTCTTATATTTCAGAACACTTCATGTAAAAATTAAGGCTGCAGCAACTTTTCAATAAATATAATTATGACCTACTTATGTCATAAGGGGACAGGAAAGGGAATGGCTTGGAAGAAGTTGTATGACCCATGACAACAGCAGGAGGGGAGAGGTAAGAGATGTGGGATTGGCTAGTGGTACATCTCTGACAGCACCAGACAACAAGATGAGCTACAGAGAATGGCTCATAACGTGTGATGTGAGACTCTAAAATTCCTTAAAAAGTCTGGTTTACAAACAAGTGAATATGGTATTTTTAAGCAATTCTGTAACCTTTACCTTCCATATTGACAGCCTCAAGCGAAGCATCTTGGCTGTCACCACTACCATCACAGCAGCGGCGCACTTTGCCCAAGCGAGGGCTCTCCTCCTCAGAGCTATCTTCAGTAGCCAAAGCCAAGGGAGAGTTACCCCGCCTCTTAGTTGCAGATGCTCCACAAGGAATCCCACTTCCTTCTACTGATGTCACTCCATCCACAGCCTCACAAGTTGGTTGAATTACAGGGGACCTGTATTCAGATAAAAATTACATGTACAAGGGCCTGTGAACAGAACCTATAAAGCCTACTTTACTACTGCACAGATTTCCAGTTTCACAAATCGTGTGTTACTGTCATATTTAGGTAGGGCAAATTTACAATCCAAAAATAAAATTCAAATTAGATCACAGGATCTGTGCTGGACTTGGCCACGGGTTGTTGCACAATCAAATCCTAGTCGAGTCCGAACTGTTTTAATGGCAAATGTACAGATGTTACAGATTACTGCTGTCGTAATTTTCTTTCTGGGAAGAACTTATTATGTAGCTACAGATTTTGTGTTAAATAAGTTAGCCATAACCTCAAAGTTTCACAATGTCACCATATTCATAATTGTTCTCATATACAGAGTTTGTAAGTATGTTTATGATCTATATCCACTCAAGTTGTTGCATTATGCATAGCCATACATGCAAGGCCTCATGTTTTTGTGATTTATAATGTTTATCTTAACTCCTGCAGATGGGTTATGTTGTCTTCAGTTTATATATGAGGTACTATCAGAAAGTCAAAAAGATCAAAAAAGAAATGCTGGCCTAACTTACTCAATTTAGGCTGCCATCTCCCTCAAAATAGTCTCCTTGGGAAAGTATACAGCGATCCCAACATTCTTTCCATGCTTCAAAAGCACCCTGGAAGTCATTTTCCTTAATGCTGTTGAGTACCGCTTGCAATTTCCTTTGAATGTCAGACACTTTCAAAACATCGTCCCCTCTGTTTCATTTTCAATTTGGGAAACAAAGCGAAATCACAAGGGACTAAGTCTGGCAAATAGAGGGGACTGGAAATGATAACCATGTTGCTGTTAGTCACAGACTCTGACGATTTTAGGGATGTGTGGGCGGCATGTTGTCGTGATGAAGGAGCAATGCGGCCCATGTTCAAACTTTCTGTTAAGAACTCCTGGCAAACTCCATAACTGACCCCAATGGTGTCTGAGAGCTCACGGATTGTTCGGCAACAGTCTTTGTGGATGAGTTCTTGAATTGTTTTCAACATTTTCTGTCATTTTTCTGGTGTTTGGTCACCCTGAACTAACACTCGAAAGGCCTTGAAATGTGAATGCCATTCAAAAACCAGTGTCTGGCTTAAAGAATGTGCTCTAAATGCCTCACACAGCATTTCACAGGTTTTGATAGCGGATTTACGGAGCTTCACGCAAAACCTGATGCAGACATGTTGCTTGATTTTGCCATCCATCACAGACAAAACAAAACACGGTTGAATAAGCACAATGCATTTGCAAAGCACGATGTCACATGGCAGACTGATGGAATAGGCTTCAGAAGCGTGACCTTGGCCTCCCCTCTCATCTTCTTTCTCATCTCTATCAATTGGGCCCAACTGGGTAGGCCTGTACATGAGCATGGAGTCAGAATGGGGCTTGCAATAGTGTAGTTGGTTGTGGCACTATGCTGCAAGCTGGAAAGTTACGGGTTTGATTCCTGATGATGTTATTGGATTTTTTCAGTTTACCTAATCCTTCCAGCTGCGCTATGGCCCTGGGGTTGATTCAGCCTCTAACGGAAATCAGTATCAGGAATGTTCCTGGGGGTAAAGGGTGGCTGGCATGTAAGGCGACAACCTCATTGCCATATCTGAGCCGACTATCTAGAAGATGTGGAAGCCTAAACATCTGACAACCCTATGGGCCTCCACAGCCTGTTACAGGGATACCTTTACTTTTTTTACCTTTTTTGGAGATAGAATTTAGTCTCCAAAACGTTGTTTTAAAGAAAAAAACACAGGGTAATGGATGATGTCCAGAAAGTCAATAAATGTATTAATAGACCATCATCACAAATTTTCAAATCTTACACCAGGGAAAGTTTTTCATTGAAGGTATACTAAACATTACCAACATACTTTTTGGTCTTTAAGGATGCCAGCTTAGCAGTAAGGGCCTCAACTTCCACTGTTAGCTCATCATTACGATCTCGAAGTCTAGTGTTCTCAGCTTGAAGTTCACCAAGTTTCTGAAGCAATGGTTGCATCTGTTCCTGTTCATGACAGCCTTCCAGTTCACTTAGCTGAGAATATAAAAACATACTTTAGGTAAAGATATAATATCTAATCACCTGCAATTTGTGGATAAGGTTATTTACAGCACACTTCACTAACAAAATATGATTAAATATTACTATAAGATATAGATACAATTTTGCAGTGCCATGGTTTGTTATGTTTGCTTGAAGATACTTTTAATATTTCTTTCACTAAACGTTTCAGAGAACTTTCAATTTTTAGAAAAGGGGACACATTTTTAATTAAATGCCATTTTTTAATCATGCCCATGAGTGCCTATGCTAAGAATTTAAATCTGGCGCGATAAAGGTTAAAACTACAAACACAAAACTGAAAGGGATACACACCCGCTGCTGAAGCCCAGCCAGAGACTCCAATTCCTTTTGCAGCTGCATCCTCATTTCTTCTGACTTTGACAAATGCTCTGTAAGGTTATGGTTTTCCTTCTCCAAAACTTCGTTTTCCTGAAAAATATGAAAATCACATATCCTTTAACTATAGTATTATTCCTTGGCCAATAAACATATAAATGAAATAAAATAAAATAAAATAAAAAACAGTAAAGATGAAATATTTTATGTTATGGCTTCACAATGAGGTAGCAGTCTCTAGGGCCAATACAGACACAATTCACAATTGAGCAAAGCATTTTTTTAGGGTTTCACCAAAATCTGGAGGGGGGGGGGGAACACACTATGTATATGAAAGATGTGACTATATGTAGTGAAAAGAATTTTCAGATCAAGAGTATGGCAAATTTCATTGACAGATCAGCACAGAGGCATACATTAGCTACTCTTAAGAATAAAGCATAAATGGGAGGATAATATTAAAATTAATCTTATACAGACAGGGTGCAAAGGACTGAACTGCAGTGAGAGTGGAAACTGGATTGAATTCACCAAGATAGAAAGCAGTGAATTTCTTCTGCTGAGCTGAGTAACAACCAGCTTTTCAAACAAGACTCTAAAGCATGAATCAAGTTAGTTTGCTTTGTAGCATATAGCTCTGGTTCCAACCATGTGGTAAGCTTCTTCCATAGGAACACAGTGTGTATGAGGATTCCACAAGATGCACAAAGCATTCTGAACCAAAATCACTATTTTATTAATGTGTCAAATGTTCCAACATTAGTTTAACTTATTAACATCACTATTCTTGGGCTTATGTATAATTTTCCCTTATTTTTCGTTTTCTTTTTACAATGGTTCTTACAGCCCATTCAGGGCCCAGGCATCTTATTCAGTTCCAAAATCGTTTTCCACAGATGGCAGGACTCCTTGGACGAGTGCTAAGCCCATCGCAAGGCCGCTACCTAAACACAGGATAATACACACACACACCAAACATCCATGCCCTGAGTGGGACTCAAACCCACGATCCCAGCATCAGAGTGAGTGAAGACAGTTCATGCCTTAGATGGCATGGCTACTGCGACTGGCTTCATTTTTCTACATTTAATAAATCAAATGCACAGCATACATCATAAAACTGGGTATTTGGAATGTTCAGAATACTGTAAATTAATTTTTTTGTAACTTAAAAAAAGAATATTTTCTGACAAAGGAAGAAAGAAGGATTTTAGATGATCACAAGAGATAAAAAAATGGTTAAGAATCATTAGTGTACACACTCCTGTATTTAAGTATCTTGTTATAAGCCATATTAAAATGGTTATGTATAACACAGTCAGTCAATGGTGCCACAAATTGTTCCTGATCCTTCCGCCTACACTTTAACACAACATGTTTTGGCCTTAGATGGCCATCTTCAGGTGTCTTAATATATTAAAACTGCTACACTGCATTAATATGTGCTAAAATCACACACTGTAGTCCATTTGATATAATAAAATCCATTAAAATTTTCATTACTTTGGTGAAATTCTATTTCACCTCACATGGGGTGTTGTCCATTTGTCTAGACCTATGTATGTGTTTCTCTCCAGGTGTTTTATTGCAGCAGTGAAAACACCACCACATGCTGCTAGAGGGAACAACATACAAGCAAGGGGCATATTACAGATTGCAGACATAAGAGAATGGGCTAACGAACACAAAAACAAGCTGCTGCAATAAAACACATAGCCCTAAACGAATGGACAACACCCCTTGTGAGGTGGAACAGAATTTTACCAAAGTAATGAAAATTTTAATGGATTTTATTTTATTTTATTATATAAAGTGGACTACAGCATGGGATTTCAGTGCATATTAATGCAGTGTAGCAGTTTTAATATATTGAGACACCTGAAGATGGCCATCTAAGACCGAAACATGTTGTGTTAAAGTATAAGTGAAGAAAAAGGAACAATTTGTGGCATTACTGATGGACTGTGTTACACATAGATGTTTTAGTGTAGACAATGCTTGAAACCCTAACGATGTGCCATGACAAGATAAAATCAGACCTTCAAATTCTCACTCATCAGCCTGGACTCAATCCCAGTTCAGTTCATGTGGGATTTATAGTGGACAAAGTGGCATCACTGCAGGTTTCCTTGTTTACTTCAATTCTCATTGTGCCAAATGCTCCATTCCTCTCAACTATCATTCCACCCTAAGAATAACAATAATAATAGTGCCACATGCAGGGTGGTATGGGCGGCAAGAATAATGGTTTCTCGTTTGGATGACTGGATTTATTAGCACTTCGGTTATAACCTCTCTTAATCACATTCACTACAGGCAATACAGCGCTATCACCGATTTACACACTTTCCAGTTCACCGTTGTACACACATTAGGACTCTCAGACTTCACTAGTCATATCCTGGCAACAGATTTCAACTCACAAACTATAACAGTCTCACTGGTTTATACACTCCAAATATTACATATAATTAAAGTCTTCAAACAATATGCTCCATTCTAATCCTTGTACTCTCAACTGCTGAACCCTCCTGGCTTCTCTACTTTGTCACTGTCACTCAAAAAAACTGAAAAGTGTAATATCTGTAACTGTCGTTACATACTCTCCACACAAACCACACATGGAAAACACATCAACTACTGAGCAACGGATATCATGTGTTGTTGTCAGTCCACCCGTGCACTGCCTAGCAATAGATGCCCTATTGTTGTGCATTCGTTGCTGTGGTGTGTGTTTACCAGTCTGTTATCGAGCAATGCTTTGAGCAAATATGTTACATTAGCCTCCAAATGTGAAATATTTTCCACGGTACAACCTCTACTTTTCTAAGTCTTTATGCATACTTGTTTAAGCAGTGGAACTGCAGCAATAAATTGTACTTACCGACTGCAGCGTGGTAACTTGTAACCTTAATCGAGATTCCTCCTCTTGGAGCGTGGACACCTGTTTCTCCAGGGATAAGTTCTGGACAGCAAGCTGTTCTCTATCTGATCCGAGCTGTTCTGATAGGTCCTTCAGCTGTTCTGCATGCCGCTGTTCTAACAGTCTAAAGAAACGGTGAAACATGATATATATATTATATATATAGGAAGTATCAGAAGAATACAGAAAATTACACAGTGAGGAGCACAACAGTTTGTTCCCTTCCTTAACATCGATAAAGTGAGATGTGGCAGGCTTGTAACACATGTAGCAAAGATGAAAAATTCATTGTGGATAGAGCTGATAGTTCATTTAGGATTACTGAGCTCCAGTGTACTAGCAGCAGCAGTTAGATTTGCCCAGAAATAATGCTAATGTTTTCAGCCTGATTACTACATGCAGGTTGGTCTTGTCTTGCAGGATAGCAGGTATAAATGGGAGGATAATATTAAAACTTATCTTGGAGAAATGAGATGTGAGGGTGTAGATTAGATTCAACTGGTTCAGGACAGGGCCAAATGGAAAGATCTGTGAACAGAAGCAATGAATATTTTAGTTCAATATAAGCAGAGAATTTCTTGGTTAATTATATTTCCTATATATGAAACTTTCTTTCTTTCCTTTTCTTTTAAGGTAAAGCTATCCCTGTAAAAGGCTGTGAAGGCCCATAGGGTTGTGGGACATTGAGTTCACACATTTTGTCTATACAATACCTGAAATTTACTGGATAAAATTTTAAAACTTCATACTGTGACAATATTAGTACAAGTAACAGTAAATGCAATACGTTTTACAACCAACATGTGTATGATCCTCCATTTAATATCTGCCGTGCGTGACTACAACACTTCTTCAGACAGTGCTATTAAAAAGGGCACTGAATACATATTTTGTGTGATGACTATGGGCATCTGCACTAAAGGTCATTTGTGTCACTAACATCTAAGAAATTATCATGTTCTTCATATCATTACTTCTAACAGTAATTAAAAAAAAGCAAAGGTATCCTTGTAACAGGCCGTGGAGGCCCATGGGGTTGTGAAATGTTGAGGTTCCCACATTTTCTACATAATCGGCTCACAAATGACAGCAAGGTTCTCAGTTTTGCGCACTGGCCGCCCTTTACCCCAAGAATATTCCAATAATATTCCTGGTACTCATTTCTGTTTTAGATGCTAAGTCAGCCCAAGGGCCATAGTGCGGCTGGAAGGATCAAGTGAACTGAAAAAATCTAATGACCTCATGGGACTTGAACCCGCGACCTTCCAGCTTGTAGCATAGTGCCTCAAGCAATTACACTACCATGTGCCCCCCATTACTGCTAACAGTAAGATATCAAAAGTCTCAAGGTGCAGTGTCCTCCAGCAGCACGTTGTCCAAGGCACATTTCATACAAAATTGGCCTGTTGAAAATTATTGTCGATTGGGAAATGGAAGAGAATACACGGACATTACAACATAACAAGCCTATCCTTTCAAATAAGACATGATCAGAATAATAACAATGCCACTTCAAATAATATCAGTAACTTTCATCCTTAAATTCACATTAGTTCAAGCAGCAATGCTTCTGACTTGCATTCAGGAGGTGCCCAGTTCAAATTCAGGCTGGAACATACAAGGTGTTTCCTCACACTGACATCACCTTCTCTTCAGTATAATATTCACATATGAAAATCCTAGAATTCCAAAATATTTTAACAAAACTCACTTGATTTGAAGTTGACTAGATTTCTCGAGTCGAGCATGATGGTCATCAACTTCCTGTGCAAGAAGAGAAGCTCTCTGATTGGCATCCATTATATCAGCCCGAAGTTTGTCACGCTCACCACTCATATGCTCCAGGGACAATCTAACAAAGAGATAAACATTTTTTGAATAAAGACAAGCCAAATAAAAATTCATAACCAAGGTTCACTCACAGCCCCAGTTCTCCTATTTTCCTTACATTTGTACCTTCCACAAGGCTTGCTCTTCTACCATGAATATGGAGGCAGCAGTTCCTCTAAAATGCTTGTACATATCTAGAGGCAGTAAGTGATTTGGAGCTATTTCTAAAGATCAGTTTCTAAACTGAACTTTCCATAATTCCTATGTCTCTTTATGTAAGGGAAAGTCAAAATATAACAAGCAATTCCAGTAGCAATGAAACAGATTGTAGATATAAACGTTATGAACGAACATTTTGAGCAACGTGGAATGCTACAAAATTTCTACAGAAACACTTCTGCAAATACAAATATTCCAAAAACTCTACATATAAGTTTGATTTTCCCTGAATTTTGGATGACTTAATCTTTAATGCTTAATCACACAACACTTACTTCAGACAACGAACTTCTGTGTGGTAGAGAGCTAATGTTGCTTGAAGTAAAATTTCATGTGGAGAACAGGAACTGACCCTGGCTCCAGCAGCATCATCGTTTCTCCTTTCCTCAGCTAACGAGCGCAGCTCCTCTTCTAGGACTGCCACCAACTCTGTTATATTGAGTCGCTGTGAATCGCTGAAACCCAAATCTTGCAACAAACGAGATGGACCTGGAATGCCAGCTGCCTCCCACATCTCTACTATGATCTCTGCATTCACAAGCCTGAAATTAACACAAACTTCAACACATGAATATTTACTTTAATGTTTTCTTCATATGCTGTCACCTGTTCAGTAAAAAATTAATTAAATTTAACATCCTGCACGATTTCTATCAGAATTTCTACAGGCTCTAGTTACAGTTTTGATGTTGGTGACATCAAAAAGCCTGCTTTATGACACAAGAGCAAGCAGTTCAATTACGTAACATCCTCATAACCCATTTTCTTAATATTATCACACGTTCTGAATTTTCAAAGCATGCTGCTTTTGTAAAAGCTTTCCCCATAAAGTAAGTAAAGGTATCCCTGGAACAGGCTGTGGAGGCCCATAGGGTCATTCCATGTGAAATCATCCAGAAAGGTCGCTCACCATTTTTAAAAAAAATTATATTTTGTACACTTATTTATACATATTTTCATACTACAAAAAAATTTTTAAAAAAATTCTAATCCGCTCAGTTCTCTCGGTACAGGCGTTTTTATAATGCGAAAAAACGCGTTTTCGGCTGAAATGGAGGTTTGCGTTATCTTCCATATCTCGATAACTATTGAAGCTACAGACTCCAATAAAAACGCTATTTGTTCCTCATGATATGGACTACAAATCATATTATTACAAGTTTTTACTCAGCTCACTTTCTGTAGGTGTAATTAAACTTGAAACTTACCTATCGATTTTGGGAAAAACGCTATTTTTGACCTTCAAAAACCAATGGGAGGGGGAAAGTATCAGATCTGTGATTTCTACCATTTGTTGTTACCTATATGGGGAATATAATCACTTAGTTTTGAATCCCGTACCTAGTTTCCAAAATTTTCCAGGAGCTTCCAAACTTTGCTCTGGGCCCCAAATCGGCCATTTTTAACATCTCATATCTCCGGTGGGGAAGCTCAGAAAATTTTTAAATTCCTAGAAGATAATGCTCTATTC